TCAGCCCATAACTCACAGCATAAGTTCACTTAATCCACCCTTGAAAGAAAGTCTCTTCAGAGGGAAAGAGTGAGAAAGAAAGAGAGGGACGGCTCGGCGCCCGTAGCGCAGCGGTTAGCGCACCGGCCACATACACTGAAGCTGGCGGGTTCAAACCCAGCAAAAGAACAAAAAGAAAGCAATGGAGAGAGGGGAAAAAAAATTCAACAAGGTAATTAAGTGCTAGCCAAAGAACATGTTGAAGAACCACAGGTGGTTGAATTTTGCCTCCATATTTTTTCACTTTTTTTGTTTGTTTGTTTGAGACAGAGGCTCACTATGCCGCCCTCCATAGAGTGCTGTGTTGTCACAGCTCACAGCAACCTCCAACTCTTGGGCTTAAGCTATTCTCTTGCCTCAGCCTCCCAAGTAGCTAGGACTACAGGCACTCGCCACAACACCCAGCTAGTTTGGGGTTGTAGTTGTCATTGTTGTTTAGCAGGCCTGGGCTAGGTTTGAACCCGCCAGCCTCTGCATATGTGGCTGGCGCCTGTAGCTCAGCAGCTAGAGCTACTCTTTCACTTTTGCTAGAGGCTAACTTTCCAGTTTTTATTTCACTAACAAGAAATCTTTCTCTTTTTTTCCAAGTTTTTTGTTTTGTTTTGTTTTGTTTTTTTGAGATAGAGTCTTACTCCATTGCTCCAGGCTAGAATGCCATGGCATCAGCCTATCTCACAGCAACCTCACAATCCTGGGTTCAAGTGAGCACCCTGCCTCAACATCCCGAGTAGCTGGAACTGCAAGCACCTCCCACAATGTCCAGATAATTTTTTCTATTTTTAGTAGAGACGGGGGTCTCACTCTTGCTCAGGCTGATCTCAAACTCAAGCTCCAGAGATCCTCCTGCTTGGCCTCTCAGAGAGCTAGGATTACAGGAGTGAGCCACCGCACCTGGCTCTGACAGGGAATCTTGAGAGCCAGCTCTGCAGGAGGAGGCTATGAGAAGTAAGGACTGCAGGAATAAAGAGGGCAGAAATGAGGCAGACTTTGTAGGTGGGAGAACAGCAGAGAAGGTTAAAAACAAAGTTGAAGAAGTTTCACTTGCGAACACCTTCCTTCATCTCCCCACTATACTCATCAAATACTCATCAGAGCATTCAGAGTTGCCTGTGTGTGTTGTGTATTTGCGGCACTCATGGTGCATGGAAGGTGACACTTACATGAAGGTGAGTGGGCATAAGAATAGCAGGAGATGTTAATTGCATATACAGAAATGAAGGGGAAAGAGAATAGGATGAGGGAAGTAAGGTGTTCTGGTTAGAGGCTGAAGATTACAAAGTTTACAGGAAAAAAATCCACGGGCTATAAGGACATGGACATGGGTCCACCTGGCGTACAACCTTCAGTTTCTCCTCTCTTGTGCTGCCTCCACTGGACGCTGCAAACATCAACTCAGTCAGTGTCACTGCAACAATAGCCTCTGATCACGGGCAAATTCAAACTTAGCGATTCCCAGCCCTTGTTTTATGATGACAAATGGATGCACAGTTATAGCAGAAAATGCTTTCCAATTTCTTAAAAACCTGCTCCAGGTAAATTTAATCAAACGTAAGTCAAAAATCATTTAACTGTGTGGCAAGGCACAATTCCCCCTTAGATGAAGATGTTACAGGTAAAGAAAACAAGAGCAGATTTCATTGACTTGCCTCTGAAGTCTGAAACGAATTTTTTTCGCAATATGAAGTACAAGTTGGAAGCTCGAAGTCTGGAGATGAAAGGAAACACAGGTGGGTGCACTAGAGATGATTCCAGTGAGCTCTAGGCGGTATCTTAACTGTTATTCTTGAAGGACCACTGAACGTAAGTAATAGTTTTAAATAAAACAAAGGGGGATAGGAAGAAAAGAAAAAGAGGAAAGGGGAAGAAATAGTAAAATGTGGGGAGGGAGGTAGAAAGGAAAGAAGGAAGGGGAAGAGAGAGAGGAAGGAAGGAAGGTAGGAAGGGAGAGAGGGAGGGAGGGAAGTGTAGACAGGAGGAAGGGGGGAAGGGAGGAAGGGGGAAGGGAGGGACGGAGGGAGGGAGGCAGGCAGGCAGGCCTACTGCCCATCATCAGGATCCCAGTTTCTGGGGATAATTCTGCATTTTTCAGGGAAAAATCCTCTCTCTTCACTATTTCTGATCACTATCAGCAGCAAGCCTTCTATTTATATATAAGAAAGAAAGTGTCCATTTGACAATGAGCCTATCCTATCCCATTTCAAAACTTGCAATTACACAGAACAATGAAACCTCAATGAAAAGTTTTCTACTACTCAGATGGAAACTTTTTTTTAAGTCAGGAAGTCAACAGCTTACCAATGCAAAGAGCTAGGGGCTGGGTATTACATGCCAGGAAAATTCTTTTTTTTTTTTTTTTTTTTTTTATTGAATGGTAACTATGTACATTAATGCACTTCTGGGGTACAGTGTGGGGTTTTCACATGCAATCCGAACTACTTCCATCAAACTGGTCAACACAGCCTTCATGTCATTTTCTCAGTTATTGTTTTAAAACGTTCACATTCTACTCTTAGAAAGATTCACCTGTACCCCTATAAGATAAACCTCAGAAGTGATCCCTCCAAACCCCCTCCCTCCACCCATTTCCCCCTCCCTTCTCCCTCCCCCCTCCCCATATTCTTAGGCTATTTGGTTATAGCTTTCATATAAAAGGTATAAATTAGTTTCATAATAGGAAAATTCTTAAGGGCCACAAATCTACCAGTGCTGGGTTCAGGAGTAGGTGTACAGGACAGGGATTTGGAGGAGACACAGAGGGTCCATAGACACAGGAGAATGGATAAAAAGGAGACATGGAGGAATACAAGGTTTGGAGGGGGAGAAGGAGGAAGAAGGGAGCAAAGCAGAAGATGATGAAAGAAAGATATGTCTGTATCAGGAAGGGTAAAGTGCTACTAACAGTTTAATCTCAGAAACTGCTGGAATCGACAGTAATTTCAGACCAAGCACATCATTATTAACCACAAAGACTTCTTAGGAATTTGTCTTCCCTGCTTTATCCAAAATACAAATGGAATTTTTTTATCTCCCAGCAAAATCTTGGCCTTGAGGGATTCGGAGACCTTAGGAGAATTTAAGAAAAAGATTCCACTTGCAGGAGGAAGACAGATGGCATCAGGACACCTGTAGATCGGAACAACCAAATTGACCACAGGAGGATTTTTCTGCAAAGACTATTTTTCACATAGTTGATATTAAATGATTTTAAACATGTGAAGAATGTTAAACGTTAAGCATGGAGGAAATTTATATACATGAAAAAAGACGAGAGAAAATTCTTTTTAAATGGTAAAAGTACATTCCAATAGAACATATCATTAGATTGGATTTTATAATAGTTTCAGAAACTTTTATTATTTATTCTTCATTAAAATAGGTGAAGAGCCACATTTTTATTTGGTGAGTATACTTATTTTTAATTTAACATGTGGCCATTTGGACAGCCAAATAGTGTAACTACTATCCAATGAGCAAAAAGAACAATAAACAGAAAGTTCTACCTATGACTAGACATAATAACACTTTTACAATTGCATCATCACTCATCTTTGAAAGGAAATAGACTAAATCCAGTTAAGAATTTGGAGTGATTCCTCATAATTAAAAACATGTTTTATATTTGTTCTACCAAAGAGTCTTAAAAATAATGTATAAATACAGGTCAAGAGAAGGAACAAGTATAGTTATAATTACAAATATTAAAAGCAATAAATCTTCTATATGAAATAAGTATGGCATCCATTTGGAGAGAAAAATAATAAATATCAAGTAAGCTAGATATCCCTGCTGCTGGTATCATCACAATTTATTAAAATGCCCTTCTTTGAGGCAGAGATTTACTTACAAAGCATTTTAATGTCATGCACCAGCTCTTGAGTTCATAATTCCCCCAGACGGGCCAGAAACAGTTCATTGTCTATAGTGTGCTTTATTAAAAAACAGAAAATCAAAAGACCAGGAAGGGAAGCATTTTGCACAGGGACAAAAGCCTGCCAGAAAGAAACGCAGCTGGCTTCACCTTTCCTCCGTTAGCAGAATTTCTCTCCAGGGTGTCCCAGTTAGAAACCTGTTAAAACCAACTCTACTGAAAACGCCTTACAGCATTTTGTATTTTTGCAACCACCTACCAAGATATGTGAGCATCAACTACCGAATGTTGGGAGCCAGTTTGGCCAAGCTGCACGTGGCGAGATTTTCTTTCAAAATATTTGCATCTCCTCTACTAAGTGAAAGCTTCTAAGATTCCCTTAACAGCCCCTTAACAGAATAGGTTTAATAGAATCCAAGAAATGCCAGCAGAGATCATTTTCAGTTAATCCTGAATTTGTTGCACTGAAGAAAAAGAAGGTGTCTTCTCCCCTCCAAGGCAGTACAATACGGTTTCATTCACTATTACTGCAACAGCTTTCACACCGTCACAAACAACACAATCCCCAATGAACACTCACCACAGATGCGCACAGGGAGCAGATGGAGTGACAGGCAATTAGATTAAATTTGCCCTTTTGCTCCCAATCTTCACCTAGTCAAAAATGGATGGTACATTTGCTATACTTAAGAGGAAACCATCCAGCTTCCAAATAAAGTTGACTTTCACCTTATCTGGACAGAGTCAGCTCAGGTCTGCAGCAGGGTGCGCCATCAGAAGTTAATATTATTTTCTAACATGTGAGTGCATTGCCCCAGCCCACAGGGCATGCCCCCCTTTTATAGTAATTTCCCAGAATTTTTCTGTTTAAAATGCAGCTAAGACAGGTGGCTTCATCCTCCACTTCTCTGATTATCTCAGCGAAAGTAATTAAGTTGGCTGGGGGAAAACCGTGTGAGACAGCCCTTCTTATGAGCGTGTTTAATCAGACCCCACTGCCTCTGAGGGAAGGACGGTAGCCTCTTCAATATTCAAGGGGTCCCACCTCCCTTGCTAAGCCCGCCAGCCTAAGCCAGGCTCCAGATAAACTCACCTGCCATTCTTGGTCACGATCATTTCATTAGTGACTTCCTTGAATCTCTGCCAGAGAGGGGCATCCTCCAGGGTGATCTGAAGTTGCTTCTCCGTGGGATCGCCTTTTTCTCTCCCTGCCTGAAGCTCACTTTCCACGACATCGAGCAGCCGAGAAACGGTGCCATCACTGGTCTTCTGAGCACCCAGCTCACTCATGGCCCAAAGCCCCCACTCAAACTTTGCTGAGAGATGACACCTACCTGGCCTTGCCTGCTTCTGGCTCCCTTCTTCCCTCACTTGCCTGCTTTTCAAACCCAGCAGGACAGTGTCTGGGAGGTGGGAGAAGATGCCCTGGCTCTTGCCTAAGCTCCTAGGATGACACCCCTGAAAGTCTCCACATTATACCACCAACCTGTTAAGCTTTAGTTGGGGAGCGGGGTGGAGGGAGGGAAGAGATAGAGAAGAAAAAGCCCTCTCTTAATTACTCATTGGGTCAGGTGGGCAGGAGCCTGGCTTTCCCATTGGCTGCCGTGCCTAGAGTAGATGTTTAAGAAGAGTACTCCATCCAAATTATCAGGCTTTTATCTTGTTGTACCTGAAGAGGACTAATCGGTGTATTGAGGACCATTTTCCCATTAATTAAAATTATTCCAGGCCCAGACTGCAGCAATCAGGCAAATCATGTTTGTATATAAATCAAGGCACCTACAGGGAAAGAGGTCCTGGGAGAATGGACAAACTTGATGCCCGTCCAGGCTCCCTGATGCCCTGGAGAGTCAGAGCCCTCAGCTGCTCCCTAGCACCTTAGACAGACCACGAGGCCCTGGAGACCAGAGCAGCATACATGGAAGATGGAAGGCACCGGAGAATAGAGGAAGGTGCTCTGTGCTCTGCCACCACTCACGGGTAGAGCTCGGGGGAAAGAGCAAAGGCCTCTTTCTCCCAGGACATCTCCTCCTATCTTCTGTCTCCTGCAGAAGCCAACACACACTCACACCCCACTCATGTCCAGGTCCCTGCTTGTCTCTGACAAGCAGAAGAGTCTTGAACCTTATCATTTCTCCCTAGAATCCAGACCTCCCCCCCTTTTTTTTAGATAGAATCTCACTTTGTCACCCTCGGTAGCGTGCCATGGTATCATAGCTCACAGCAACCTCAAATTCATGGGCTCAAGCGATCCTCTTGCTTCAGCCTCCTGAGCAGCCAGGACTACAGGAGCCTGCCACAATGTTCAGCTAATTTTTTGAAACAGGGTCTCACTCTTGCTCAAGCTGGTCTGGAACTCCTGAGCTCAGGCAAATCCCTGTCCTGGCCTCCCAGAGTGGTAGGATTACAGGCATGAGCCACCCTGCCTGGCCCAGAGCCCCAATTTTTTTTTTTTTTTTTTTGAGACAGAGCCTCAAGCTGTCCCCCTGGGTAGAGTGCCATGGCATTACAGCTCACAGCAACCTCCAACTCCTGGGCTCAAGCAAGTCTCCTGCCTCTGCCTCCCAAGTAGCTGGGACCACAGGCGCCCACCACAACGCCCAGCTATTTTTTGGTTGCAGCCGTCATTGTTGTTTGGCGGGTCCAGGCTGTGGATTCGAACCCGCCACCTTAGGTGTACATGGCTGGCACCTTAGCCGGGTGAGCTATAGGCGCCAAGCCCAGAGCCCCAATTTTTATTATTTCCAGCCTTAACCAGGAAGAGGGGAAAAACAATAAAACAGTTAGTTTCATGTTAATCTCTCCAAGGGGGTACTCTGCCCCTAGTCAGTGAAAATAAATTTTTTACATCATTATGCAGAGCAATTTTGATCGTCAGCCTAAAAAGGCATTCTGCTTTTCCCTTTAGACAGCCCAACCATGCCCTATTCCAGCATGCCGGGGTGAATCCCCGACTCCCTGGAAACAACCAACCAGTGGACGACGTCTCTTTCACCCAAGACACACAGTACTCGTCCTGCGGGGACAGGAGCACAGGCAGCTCGTGCTCCACAATCCCTGCAACCCTGAGAGAGCCTGGGAGGTGTGAGCTTTTCTCTCATCTCAGAAAGTGGGAAAATCAGAAAAATGGGAAAACAGGAGAAAAAGATAAGTCAGGGTGAGGATGATAAAGAAAACGCATTCAGTGCCTAAAGCGCTGTGTCACATAAAGCGATGAACAAAACAGAAATGGCAGGATGAGCAATCTGATAGAGAAAATAAGTGATATAAAGTAAACAGCTAAGTAATTATCAGGAGGACCAAATTTACATAAAGTAGCAGAGAAAAGTTTGAGCAAAGCAGGGGACGAGAACCCCACTTAGACTGGGTTGTGTGAAAGGCTTCTCCGAGGAGGAGACATTTCAGGTGAGACGAAAGGCTCCATCGTACGTGGTCAGGGAGGAGCTGGGAGAAGAGTCCCAGGCAGAGGAAGCCCAAGTGAGCAGCCGGCCAGTGCAGCAGGAAGATGGTGGAGAGAACAGAGTGACCTGCTCTCAGAGAGGGTGGGGACCAGACCACCAGGCCTGCTAAGGTGTGATGAGGAATTCGGATTTTCTTCAACATGAGATGGGAGATTCTTGGAGAGTATGGCAGGAAAACAGCATGACTTGCTTTGTGATTGTGAAAAGTCTGGCTGATTTGTGGAGAGTAAACTAGACAATGGCAATGGTTGAAGAGACCCATCAAGAGGCTATTCTAGTGGTTCAGGCAAGAGATATGGTGGCTGAGCTCAGGGTGGTGCAGTGGCCATGAAGTGATACGGAAAGATTCTAGACACATCTCAGAAGTTGACATGACAGAACTGCATGTGGGGTGGGGAGAGGGAGAGTGAGAAACCCAGTCTAATGTGAGTACGTGAGAGACGGTAGGGCCGTCCACTGAGACAGGGAAGGTGGAGAATGCCGCCGGGAGGCAAAGAGACAGGCGATTCAAATTTCCATTTTTTACAGTTAATATTGAAAAGAATGCTATTTAGGTAGGCTAAATAATGACCCCCTCAAAAGATGTCCTTATCCCCCAGAACCTGTGAATATATCACCTCACATCTACAGACGTGATTAAGTTAAGATCTTGAGATGGGATTGTCCTGGATTATCAGGGTGGGCCCAACGTGACCACAGTCTTTTTCTCCCACAGGTTCCCTACTTCAGTGTGACTCTTTATTTTACAATTTCTTTTTTGTTGTCGTTGTTTTTTTGAGATAAGAGTCTCACTTTGTTGCCCTCAGTAGAGTGCCATGGCACCATAGCTCACAGCAACCTCAAGCTTTTGGGCTTAAGCAATTCTCTTATCTCAGCCTCCCAAATAGCTGGGACTATAGGGTACCCACCACAGCACCGGACTATTTTTAGAGACAAGTCTTGCTTTGGCTCAGGCTGGCTTCAAAACTGTGACCCAGGCAATCCAGCCACCTTGGCCTCCCAAGTGCTGGGATTACAGGCATGAACCACTGAGCTTGGCCTAAAATTTCATTACATGTGTGTGACAGCATATATCATTTTTAAATTTTTTATTTCAGATTAATATGATTAATAACATACAATTAGGCTACATTGTTTGCATTTATAAAGTAAAGTTCAAGTTGTAGTTGTGTCCTTCACACAGGAAGTGTGCCATATACCCACACACTGTTTTCGCTGGGTAGAAACCCACCTACCTCCTTACCCACTTACCCCCTTCTTGATTAATTGAGATTTTCTTGTGATCATGTTTTTGTTAATTTACAAGTTTCAAATTAGTTTTGAGTACATGTATGTTTTCCATCCTTGGAGTGTTCTCCAAATCCACCCAAGTTGTAACAAAGGATACAATGTCTCAATCTTTTTTATGGCTGAATAGTACTCCATGTTATACATAGATCACAGTTTATTAATTCATTTGTGTGTTTAAAAAACAATCAATCACAGAATCTCATACAGAGTCTTTATAAGAGGAAGACAAGAGGATCAAACCCAAAATGCGAAGATATGTAGAGATAGGAGCTGAAGTCTGGGGGGAGAGGAGCTGCCTCATTGCTGCTTTCAAAGATGAAGGAAGGGCCACCAGCCAAAGGATGCCAGGCGCCCCTAAAAGCTGGAAAAGGCTAAGAAATAGATTCTTCCCTAGGGCCTCCAAAGGCAACACAGTCCTGTCAACACCTTGATTTTAGCCCAGTGAAACTGATTTCAGACTTCTGAGCCCTAGAACTGTAAGATAATAAATTCATGTTGTTTTAAGCCACTAAGTTTGTATCTTGCTATAGACAATTTTGAAAGATAAAAGGAGAAAAGGTAAGAAAAAATATTCATAATCTCAACATCCAGAGATGACCTCTGCTAACAAATCTGGCATATATATTTTTCATTATTTATAAATACAGATGGTACCCAAAAAATGTATACACATTTTAAGAAAGGAACAAACTATTAAAATTATAATACTCCATATATACCAATAGCATTTGTTATCTTGTATATTATATCTTGTATCTCTCATAATTGCAGTTAACTCAAAGTCAACTGATTAAGATTCTAAACTACATCTACAAGTCCCTTTTCGTACCCAATGGACGAAGCATGATCGTAACAGTGATGTCCCATTGCATTCAGAAGCTCTGGCATACTTACCTGCAAGGGAGATACGGTGATCACAGAGGTCCTGCCACCACTCAGGTTATTTACACCAGAAGGCAGGAATCTTGGGAGCCATCTTAAAATTCTGACTACTAAAAACAAGCAGACAAATGAAAACAAAACAGAAACAACTAAACTACAAATGAAAAATCAAAAAAGAAAATGTAGCTACAGACCACTGTAGTTCACCTAGAAACACAGTTGTAAAAATGTAAATATTGGCTAGGTGGGCCTGTAGTCCCAGCACTTTAAGAGATTGAGGCAGGAGGATCACTTAAGGCCAGAAGTTCAAAACCAGCCTGGACATCAAAGCACAACCTTGTCTCTACAAAAGACAAGAAAAATTACCCCGAAGTGAGGGCACATGCCTGTAGTCCTAGCTTACTCAGGAGGCTGAAGGAAGAGGATCACTTGAGCTTAGGAGTTCACGGCTGCAGGGAGCTATGATCCTCCCACTGGATGACAGGAGGAGACCCTGTCTTTAAAAACAACAACAACAACAACAACAACAACAACAACAAAGAGGCCTTTCCCGGCTACCCAGAGAGGGATCCATACAGTGTTGGTCTGGATTTACTTTGTAACTTAAAGGGAAACTTTCACAATGTCCAGAGAGCTTCATGTCCTGCAAGTGAAGAATGTCTTCAAATTCCTTGCAGAGGAACTCAGGGGGCACCAACCTCAACTCCAAATGG